ATGAAAGGTACAGAGCAAGGAGACCCTGGCCAGGGGCTTGGTTCTGTCCTTCTTATATGGCACCGAGAACCCACCAACTCATTGCACAGGGAGCAGAAAAGAGCCTCCGGATCTCAACCACAACATGCAGTTCTATCATAGCAGAGCTTGGTTTCCTTAATCTCAGTAAAGGCCATGTTGTCTGCTGTGCCCAGAGTCCTCCCAGGAGGCTCCAAGGCACTGTGAGTACATAAAGACATTGCACTTCTCACAAACCCCACGTGTGTGGAGATGTAGGTGTTTCTGTGCGTGTGGATGTGCTCAGTAGGAACATATCACAGTCTGATCAGAGCCATGGGAAGTGAGAACAGTTCTGTGCTCTGGCCTCTCATGGTGGTGACAGCTCTTGGTCTCCTTCCAACATGGTCTCTTCTGAGAACTGCAGAAGAATGATGAGACTCTCCCCTCCCCAGCACTCAGACACCAGCCCTGAATCTCCCGTGTTCTCACGGCCCTGTCCGGTCACACTTCCAGGGGTGACGAGCCGTTGGCACACCAAGAAGCTCCCCAGGAAGACACACAAGGGTTTGCGCAAAGTTGCCTGCATCGGAGCCTGGCACCCGGCCCGGGTTGGCTACTCCATTGCTCGTGCTGGCCAGAAGGGCTACCACCACCGCACGGAGCTCAACAAGAAGGTATGGTCCAGCTGGGCTCCCTCAGAGCACCATTGCTCCTTCCTGCCTTCCTTCCTCCCGTGCTGTCACCATCCTTCTTTGCATGGTGGCCTCTGTTCCCCCCAGCTTCTCAGGTGTTTCCCTAGAGATGTGCAGTCCATTGTTCTCCATGTCTTTCCCTGTTCCCTGCTCAAGGGATGCATCACAGGGGGCACATCTTGGTAAAAAAAGCATTATCCCTGAGACATCCTTCACTGGGGGGGTGGGAAAGTCACCATCTCAATTTCCTTTCTGTTCCTAGATTTACCGCATTGGCCGTGGGATCCATGTGGAGGATGGCAAAGTGGTGAAGAACAATGCCTCAACGCACTATGATGTCACGGAGAAGACCATTACGCCTCTGGTAAGTGCTCAGGTGATAACAGGACTGTGACTGACCCTGGCTACAGGAATCCAAGCCAGGGAAGCAATTCCTTGGCAGGAGACAGCTGCACAGGAAATTATTTGAAGGAAATTCAGTGAAAGAAATGCAGTGATTCCTTTCCTCGTGTTTTGGACATGCAAAACCACCTCTCTGAGGTATTTTTTTAGGCCCATTGGTAGACTCAAACATGTAACTTTCAGATTATAACTTGGGCAGAAACTGAGAACTTTGTTTAAAAGAAAAAGAAGTATAAATGACATTAAAAATCTGATATTTACTTGGTTTAAAAATTCACTTTTGCATATTAAAAATTGTTAACTGGGAAGTCTAGCCAGCTCTGCTCTCTGTTCACCCCCATCCTCCAGGGAAGGATGCAGGTTGCTGGTTCCCCAGCTCTTACAGGGTGCTGCATCGCTGGGATCACGCAGTCAGTGTGGCTGACATGCTCTGGTGGTCCCGAGCAGGCAATCTGACGGGTGCAGAGTGTCGTTAGCTGGAAGGACTGTCAGTCACTGCCTTCTCCTTCCCTAAAAAAAGCCACCTGTGGACACGTCTGCTCCCGTCCAGCTCTCCTGCCTGCCAACCCTCTCTCTGCCTCTCCCCACAGGGTGGCTTTCCTCACTATGGCGAGGTCAACAACGACTTCCTCATGCTGAAAGGCTGCGTCGTGGGCACGAAGAAGCGTGTGCTTACTCTCCGTAAGGTGAGAGTGCAGCCGGAGCTGGGGATGGGTGGGCTGTAGCTCTCCATGAACAGATTCACCGCGTGGAGAATGCCACCGCCTCCACATGTTGGGCAGGGAGACTGGTCAGGTCCTTGACGATGTGCTGCAGAGAGCATGTGGCACATGGTGCCCCGTGAGACCGTTCGCACCTAGGTGGTTTGTGGCAGTGTGCAGTTGGATGTACCCTCTCTGGAGACAAGCTGCAAGCCTGTGTGGCTGCAGTGGGAAACCTTGGGCATAAGCAGATTGTGAGGAAATGAAACGCTAAGTGAAGAGCAGGCTCATTTCAGAGCTGCTCTGCAACCCAAGGCATCACCTGCCACCTGAGCACCAAGGTGTTTCTCTGAGAATGCAGATTTCCATGGAGATACTGTCTAAAGGGTGCACCTAGGATATTTCAACCCTGCTTCTATCAGAGCGGATGTCCTAATTTTCTGTAAAGATCAGCCTGATGCATTGTGACTCCTCTTTTCCAGTCCCTTCTGGTGCATACAAGCCGCCGGGCTCAGGAAGCCATTGAACTCAAATTCATTGATACCACTTCCAAGTTTGGCCACGGCTGCTTCCAGACAGCCCAGGAGAAGCGGGCTTTCATGGTGAGTTATGTTCTGTGCCAGCTGCAGCTCCCGGGCCATGCTCGCGGCTGAGGCTGAAGCAACTGATTGACTCCAACCAAGCATCTGCTTCTCGATACAACAACAGCCAAATGAGTGATCGGGACCGTCTCGCATAAAAGACAGGCATGAATTCAATTCACATAGCAAATATTATGCTGAGGAAGAACATGATGGTTGTGTGAGTGATCCAACCCAACTAGAAAATAATATAGCATATGGCCAACCAGTTTCCATTCACCACGGGATGTTTTAAACAAGCAGTTAACTTGGCAGGCACTGCCTTGGACATATGGTCCCTTTCACCCATAATTGTGCACTTCTTTGATTTGTTTGGAATGATTTATAACTTTAATGTTCTTAAGGGGAAAAGTTTAGGTCAAATTCAGACACAAATTTGTGATTCTTTTGTCAGGGAGCTTTCAAAAAGGCCAAGCAGTATATTTTTCTTAAATCCAGGGGGAAAAAAAAAATCCAAACCAAGCAGAGTTTCTTGAATAATTTTGCAACCTACACCAGGCTGGTGCATAAGTCTGAATGTGAAATTGAGGAAGCGTTAAGTAAACCAGGCCTTCAGCTAGCGGAAATGGAAGAAACAACTGCCTGGATACCACGCAGACGTAAACCATGCCTGGATCTGGCCTGTCAGCTAGAAATCCCATGTGAAACTGGCTAAGCCTCCTTAGGCCTGGGAAGGGGGATTGGCTATGCGGTACCTTTGCAGAGCTCTTCAGAGGTTAAGCTGTTTTCCTTTATCTCAGTGTTAGGAGCTTGCTCTGCATTCTGCTCTTGCTGTCACTGCAAGTCCTGAGTAGCTGTAAGACAGATCTTAGTGACAGGAGGTGGTTTTACCTGGTTGCAGATGTTTTCTTTGCCATTTTCTACTGTGGGGCAAGAGTTTCCCTCATGTATACTGTGGTAAAACTTTACATTTGGCTAGAAGTAGAGGCCCATAAGTGATTCTTGCAACCTGCTCCCATAGGAATTTGGTCCAGGACAATACCATTTCTTAGCTGATGGAAACCACTGTGGAGTTGGCTGATGAGAATCTGTGCCTTTGGCTGTGGGAGGCCTTGCCTCCTCCAGGACTCATACAGCAGCTCGGCAGCCGCTCCACCACGGCGAGCTCCTGATAGCATTCATCAGTGCAATTACTGCTCCCCTCCGTGTCCCAGCCTGCCTGGCTTGGGGCAGGTCACTCATTGCTGCTCTCTTTTGTGCTGTCCAGAGAAACAAACCCTTTGTGCAAGTGCAATGATATTTTGTCCTGATTCCTGTGGGGTGAGGGCGGCCCCGGGGATGGCTGGTGAATGGCAGTACAGGGCTCCCAGCTGGAGAGCAGAGACCAGGAGCAGCCTTGCACAGCAGAAAGGGGCCAAAGCTGCATTTCTGTTCCACACAGCTCACATGCAGCCTTGTAGGCCAGGTTTGTCTGGCACTAACAGAGTTCTCCTCTCTGCTTTCTTTCAGGGCCCTCAGAAGAAACACTTGGTGAAAGGGAAGCCAGGGGTGCAGGAAGAGCTGTAAGGACTGCGATATGCAAGGCTACCTAACTGAGCACCTTCAATAAAAAGGCTTCAAGCCATGCCTGCTGCCTGTCTTCCTTCTGGAGGGGTGTCTTGCCTGTATTTAGTGCTGCCTGTGGACAGCAGTGTGTCCTTGAGGTTCCTCAGCAGGACTGGCCCATATGGACAGGGACTAACTGGGACAGCCAAGTGTCTGCTCTGTCTTCTGGATCCTCCCTCTCCTTTGCCCAGTGAATTTTTTCCCACTGCCTGCATTCACCCAAACTATGGTGAAGACTCCCTCTCCTCTCTTCCAGAGAAGAACAGAGCAGGTAGTGGTACTTCTGCCCCAGTTTCTGCTGGGAACGCAGGCCCTCCCCGTTACCTGCCTCTGCCGAGTCTCACTGACCATCTCTCCCCTCACTGCCTCTTGCACACACACACACACACACAGGCACTCCTTGTGCTGAGCTGCAAGTATGACCCGTGAACTTCTGTGTGTGCAAATCGCCATGATCCCGCATGGCAGCTTCAGCAGATGTGGGAACTTGTGTGCAATAAGAAGGCTGCTAGGTAAGACTGGGCAGTGATGGATTTATTCAGATTTTGGACTCATTTTCCACCCATGTTTTCTTGCAGTCCAGCTGCCTGCGGGGAGGGTGTGATGATGCGTCTCAAAGCTGTGATGTCTTGGATCAGCGGTGATCGCAACTCCTTCAGTGCAGAACCGGTCTGGGTGTCCTGCACCCTCTTTGGGAACCAGTCAGTGGAAAGTCCAGCTGTCCGCTGGTGCAGAGCTGCCCCCTTGATTAGGAGTCCTGGGAAGCTGGTAGGAGGTGCATGAAGTTCTTGAGTCTCCAGCAAACCCCTTGCCCTGGGTCTGGTTCTGCTCTGAAAGTGTGCTTGCAGTATTTAAGGAGGAGGCTCATCTACAAAAGTGCTGAGGAGGAGATGAACCGAGAAGCTCGGACCCCACAGCATCGCCCTGGAGGCAGTCAGTGGCCAGGCTGGCTGGGTCTGTGTCCCAGCACGGTCCCTGAGCTCTGCGCAGTGTCTCTGCCCTGCCCGTGGGGCTGCGCTTCAGAGCCTCTTCCCTCCCCTGGCCGGTAGGTCCCTGGGCAGTCCCCCAGTGGGTGGCTGAGGATCCAGGCCGGAGCGCATGATGGGAATGATGAGATCGTCCATGTTTGGCATCACCAAAATTTTCTGAAAAGAGGAGTTCAGAATAACAAGTAAGCGGTTTTGAATACCACTGCCTGACTGGTGACACATCTGCTGGGAAGTGGCCTTGGCAGAAACCACACTTGGGTCAGAGGCTGGGGCTGCCAACATGTCCTGGGCTCCTGTCCCCTCAGCAGCAGCTGACTGTGCCTGGCCCTAGAGGATTACCAGCTCTGGGTATCGCAGGATGGGGACAAGCAGGAGCAGTTTTTCTTTGCCCACCTGTAGGGCTTCAAGGATGGTCATGGCAGAGGGCAGGGACCAGCACTTTGAAGCCATTCAAATGGGCAGCTCTTTCGGGGCGGGGGGGAGATTTGGGGACCTAAATATCTGTGGGGACATTTCTGCTCTTTGACCAGAGGTTTCACAGCTGAGAGGCTGAAGACTAACCAGCGGGTACTTTGTGATGGTAAATCTCCCAAACATCCCAAAAACAGAGCGGATGGGTGAATTCAGCCCTTCTGGGGTGTGTCTGCTTGGGACTTGCCGACACTCCTAATGTCCCTGCTTGGGGCAGGGCTGCACATACTGGGAGGAAAATGCTTTTCCTTGCGCACTCTGGTGCTCAGAGCACTAGCCCTCACAGCTGGTTACTCAGGTCATGTTTCTTGACTGTTCAAAGCTGGACAGACAGGTCAGATGTTGGCTTTTCTGAGTGATAACCCTGGCCCAAACGGAGGTCTCATTATCCCTGATCGCAGAAATGCCCATGCTTCAGTAGCCCTTTAACAGACCCAGACCTTCGTAACAGGTACCTGAAATTCGTGCTGCAGCTTCTTCTCGATCCACTCGGTGACATGGAGGAATGTCACCTCCCGCTCACCCAGCTTTGGGCGCACCTTCAGCTCCAGCTGGGGTGGGACTCGGAAGCTGTACCTGTGAGAGGAAAGGAAAGTGGCAGAAAACATCACATCCCAAATACATGTGGCGTAGCCCACATGGCCCCACTGCTGGGTTTTAGGGACCTGCCTCCTGGGAGGAGGTGGCCGGCTTGCAGCGGGAGCTCTGAGTCCCCAGATCCTGTCTTGGCCTGGGTGGAGACTAGGAGAAATGAGTCTGAGGTCTCTGAGCCCCTTTGGGAGAACAGCACTGGCTTACTGGTGCCCCAGATGAACCCAAAGCCCCAGAGCTGGCTCCTTGGCCGAGCTGCAGGGTGCAAGCTGGACGGAGGATGTGCGTGGGTCCCCGCACGGGAGGAAGGAAAGCTGGTACCAGACGCGGTCCGTTGGCGGCGGGGGGATGTTCACGGCCAAGGTGCCTGCCAGCTCCTGCACCTCCACCGTCAGCAGCAGCGGCGTGTTGGAAACCTCCTCGATCTTCTTTTTGATGAACTCATTTTCAGTGGCCTTCTGGAAGTACTTGGACTTGGCGATCTTATCCACAAAGCGCAGGATCTTCCGGCTCGTGCTGTTGCCGCAGACGTGGCTAAAGCAGGGGAAGTCACAGCTCAGCAGTGGGGTGAAACCCAGAGCCATGCCGGGTTTCAGCATCCCCCAGCCATCTGCCACAGCACCCCGCAGGGACAGGAGACCCCTGTGAAGGGCTGCCATGATGTGCCAGGGTGCCTGTGTGTGCCTTCCCAGGAAACCAGCCCCGAGCCCCTGTGCTGGTGTAGCACCCTGCCTCCCCAGCATCTCCCCATACACCCCACGGTGCAGACCCCCAACAGCCCCTTACCCCTCGGCGCTGGGTGCAGAGACCCGCTCCCCCAGAGCTCCCACGGGCTCTGCAGCAGTGACGTCTTCCTCATCGGAGGAGCCGGCGCTGGACGACTCTGCATCACTGTCTGCCAGCAGGATCAGCCGTGGCCTGGACCTGCGAGCCCCGAGGAGCATCACGCATCACGGGGGTGCCCTGGAGCCAGCACCCTCTCGCCTCACTCAGGCAGGAGGAGGAGGATGATGAAACCCAGCCGTGCATGGACTCCTTACCCCTCTCTGCCTGCCTCTGCTGGGCCACTCTCCTCTGCAGAGCTCTCCTTCCCCAGCTTGCAGAGGTTCATCTTCGTTTCGAGTGTCATCTGCAATGAGCCGCTATAGGTGACCTCCATGTCCACCCAGAGCCCTGCCGGGGAGAGGGACAGGGTGAGCCCCTGTCAGCACCGCAGGGGTCAAGGGCTGCTCGTGTGCCTGCCAAAACCTCCCTGTGTGGGGGACTGGGCTGGCACCTTAATAACAGCTGCCGTGGAGCCAGCCCCGGGGTCCCTGCTGCTCTGCGGGGCTCTCACCTCGGTCATTGACGGTGGGGTTGGAGGCGCTGAGGACCGAGGGGATGGATATGCCCATGTCCAGCTCTGTCAGCGTCAACTCATTCATGAAATATGGGAGCTGATGGAGGGAAACCACATGGGGACGGTCACCGCAGCCGGACACCTGCTGTGGGGCCTCAGGGATGGGGGTCCCCCGGGTGCTGTGGTGCTCCTGCCTCTCACCTTGATCTTGCTCAACTTCTTCTGGATCTTGCTGGACACTTGCTCAGCCCAGTATCGCTCCTGGAGGAAGTCCCAGAAGATGCGCCCCATCAGTGCGTTCATCCAGGCCATGCATGCCTCGCTGCGCCTAGCTGTGTCCTCACTGAGCTGCGGAGGGACAGAAGCCAGAAGCCCCTGGAGCAAGGTGGCCCCATGAGTGGTGGGACCTGCTGGCCAGGTGCTCCCCTGCACCATGGCTTGGCTGCTCAAACCACGGTGCTGGGAGGGAAGAGACAAACCACAGGACTGGAAGTGGCTGCATGAAGGGTCCATCAGCCTCTGCTTAGAATTCGTGTCCCGCTCCCAGTGCTGAATTTGTCCTACGCACCTTTGTGGGTGTGGGGCTGCTCAGTGCTCCATGAGATGGGCTCCGGTCCAGGCTGCCCCCCACCTGCGCTGGCACGAATCGGGCCATGTAGGTGCTGTAATCCAGGAAAACCTTCTGTCGGACGCTTCCTGCCAGGTCCTTGAGCGGGACAGCGGAGGGGATGTCCTCAGTGCTCCCTCCACTGCTGCTGCCGCTGCTCCGCAGAGCTGGTCCCACACCTGGGGACATGGGGACATGAGAGGGTCAGGATGGCTTCAGGTGACATGCCGCCTGGCTGTGATGCATGCACGGTGACGTGCTGCGATGCACATGCAGTGACACGTTGCCCATCCTTGATGCCGGTGACATGCCACCCACCCTATGCTGGCGAGGGGGATCCTCCAGGCTCTCCCTGCTGCTGCAAATGCTCTTGGCTCTGAGCCCCTCCATCTCCCCCCATGCTCACTGCTGCCTACCAAGGGCTTGTCCTCCCAGCACAAGTGCAGCTCCCACCCTGGATCAGTCCCAGCACAGAGCAGAAGCCACAATGGCCACATCTCACCTGCCCTGGCTTCACCACGGCTGCTGCTGGGGGTCCCACGGGAGGCTCGCACGAGGTGCTGGTACCACTCCTCCTTCTCCCTCCCTGTCCGCCCGAAGAGGTACAGGCACCTCTCCCTGCAGTCGCCCAGGACATCCTGCCCCAACACCGGCACCTTCTTCGTCCCTTCATCCTTCTGCAGCTCTGCATCCTGCTCCTCACTGCTTCTGCACTCCACCTCTGCCGGGTTGGGGAGGAGGACACAGATGGGGTATTTCTTGTTCCATGTCCGCTTTCGGGCCAGGCTGGGGGGGCAGAGGAAGATCTGCAACACCGAAAGCAGCAGTGAGGTGGGGGTACTGGGGGTGCCTGCAAGGGGAGAGCCCTCTGCTCCCGCGGGAGGGTCCTTGACACCGCTGGACTCACCTTGGCATTGGTCAGGTCGTAGCAGCGGTGGCTGATGAAGATGGTGTCGAGGATTTCCTCCTCAAAAGTAGCTCGGCGTGGGATGTTGGTCTTGGGGTAGGAGAGCTTGAGGGTGGCTCCATCCAGTGTGGCAAGCACCGAGTGTGTAAGCGAGGGGTGGAAAAGCTCAGGGTCGTAGACGTGCAGCTGGTTCATCCAGCCCTGCGTGGGAGGAAAAGCAGCCAGCTGCTTCCCGCTGTGCCGTTGTCGAGGATTTCCTCCTCAAAAGTAGCTCGGCGTGGGATGTTGGTCTTGGGGTAGGAGAGCTTGAGGGTGGCTCCATCCAGTGTGGCAAGCACCGAGTGTGTAAGCGAGGGGTGGAAAAGCTCAGGGTCGTAGACGTGCAGCTGGTTCATCCAGCCCTGCGTGGGAGGAAAAGCAGCCAGCTGCTTCCCGCTGTGCCGTACAGGGTGGGGACCACTCCTCTCCCACCTGGAGGCGATGAGTTTCCTGCAGCTCCCTTGGAAGCAGCTCGGGGCGCAGGCGGCCCCGCGGTCCCCGTGCTGCTGGCGGAGGCTTTGGCACGAGGAGGAGGACAGCGAGGAAGCCCAGCACCAGCCCGCAGATGAGCCCCAGGCAGAGGCCGGCGGCGTAGGGCGGCA